GGGCTGGGCACGGGCCAGGCCGGGCCCAATTTTGAAGGGATCGGACCGGACCCGGGTTTAAAAGAAACGAGCTGGGCCGGGACGGGTCCAACAAAGTCTAATACAGGAACCGGACCTAACCCGGTCCGTTTGAAACGGGCCGGTTCGAGCCGGGTAGACGGGTCCCTTTTTTTTTTTTTTTTTCTCTTCTCTTCTTCTTTAGCTCTCTCGTTCCGGGAGATGTCAAAAAGAAGAGAGCAGTCATGCACTGCACATCAAATCGAACAACAACAGATCCAAATTATAACAATCGAATCGAACAACAGATTTGAAAATTACATGCACTGCACATCAAATCGAAAATTTGTGATAGATTAACAAATCCAAATTATAACAATCGAATCGAACAACAGATTTGAAAATTACATGCACTGCACATCAATTCTTACATACATATACATATACTCACACACACAATCGATTCAAATTCAATTTAATTCAACAACCCAGTCGATTCAAATTCAATTCAATAAAAGATTTGAAATTGGAAAATAACAGAGGTCCAAGGTTCAAGAACCCAACAAAATCCCTAAATCTAGAAAACCCTAATTTAATTTTCAATCCTAAATCCCTAAAATGTAATACCTTAAAACTGAAGAGGACAATAAGCAGAGTTGTGCGCTGCAAATATGGGTCTGACTCAGACAGAGGAGATGATTGGGAGCGTTCCCGACCACCTCACGCTCCGCCACCTCCGACGCGAGATTGGGGTATCGCTTGAAATCAACGGGACCCGGTTCCGGCGTCGGACTCGGCCTCGCTCATGCTCCGCCGCGATCGGGTCGATAAGGAGTCTTCGGAGGTGACATGCGTCAGCACCGACAACGTGAGGGTCACCGGTGGGGTTGAATTCGAGGTGTACAAGAACAATGACATGGTTCTTCTGTGTGGGTCTCTGGAGCGGATGGAGGATGTTTGGCTCAATGGAAATGCAGGGGGATTAGAGAACGATTCGAGAACGGGGTGGAGTTAGGAAGAGAGATCGAGCTCTGAGACGTGAAATGAGAGGAGTCGGGACTCAGGATTCGGGAAGAGAGATCGAGAAGACTAGGTCTAGGGATTCGAGGGAGAGGGATAGGGAGAGGGACTCAGGGAGATGAAGTTGAGGGAGAGTCTGAGAATCCGAGAGTGAGGTCTGAGGCTGCTGAGGTTGAGGATGCTTCTGGAACTCGGGACTCGGGGAAGGTTGGCTAGGGTTGAAAGTTGAAAACTTGAACTGACGGTTGAGATTGGATGGAGAGATGATATTAAATCTCGTCCGTCCAATCTAACACAAACGGGCCGGTCTGGGTACCCGAGGATCCTATAATTTTGGAACCGGCTCGCCCCTAAAACTTCAATTACCCGGCTAGCCCCGCCCCGATCTATTTTTACAAAACTAAGAACCTGCCCGTACCCGCCCCGTACCCGTATTACCCGCCCCTACCCGCGGGTCCAGGACCCGTTTGCCCAGCCCTACATGGATGCTTTCTCGTTTCTATACGAACCCTTGCATGTTGACAAAAGTCCAAGACTAAAGAAATTTATGTAAATGAGAGACATATCACTTATAGGATATAAACAACATCGAATAATTTGATCGTAGTGATGTGGTCATAAGTTCACCACCAATGGACGGATCGACAACCAGTGGTTAAGCTAAATTTATGATTTGTGTAAGAATTGGATCTTACGTATGTTGTCGGACGAAATGTAGTAACATGTTTGTAATGTAGTTTAACTACATACGTATAAGTTCATGTAAGGTTCTTTCTTTGATCAATGAGAGATTCATTCTTAACATGCCTCATTGCGTGTGACGAAGATATGTCTTCAATGTAGTTTAACTACATACGTATAAGTTCATGTAAGGTTCTTTCTTTGATTAATGGGAGATTCATTCTTAACATGCCTCCTTGTGTGTGACAAATTTGCAAGTCAAACACTTAGACAACACAAATTGGATGAACTGTAGTGCGTGTGCCTATTGGACTTTATACACGAGATAGCTAACTTTGATAGCATAAAAATGTTGAGTTTTACCATAAAATCAATTGACTATACAGAGAGTAGCTCAACTATTTATACAAAGTTCATTCTTTCATCAATATCGGATTCATTTCTAACATGTAAAATGTGGGACCATGATAGGACACGAGCTGATATTTCCTCATCCATGTACCAGATCCATTTTTGTGCAGAAAATTGAGATTAGAGTGTTTTCATTCATCCTTCTAGTTCTTCTTCACACCTTTGTTTGATTAATCTTTTGGGGCAGTGTATTGTGTTGCACTATTGCTGGTATTTACAATATTTTCTGCTTTGGTTTTCTTTGTTCTTGATATTTTTTATTTGTAAATCATGTTATTTTTTTTTCTTTCTTTCAATTTTAATGCTATTAATTATATCTATAGTATTTTCTGTCATCTCATAGTCGCACCGGTGGCTCTGACGAGAGAATTTGCCGCACATTGCATGTGAACAAGGGAGCACACCCCACTGGATGAATCGGCAATGTCATAGAAACTAAATGGAGTGTATGTTGCAGAAACAATTAGGGCAAATACCAAATAACGATATAGTAGTGAAAGAGAGAGAGGGAGAGAGGGGGAGAGTGAGATGGGATGGGTGTGGAGGTGGGTGATGTATTAAAATAGAGGCAAATTAAGAAATATAAAACAACAACAGATCATTTTTCCACCAAGTATGGCAAATTAAGAAATATGATGACAAAAAATTTTAGTTGGGTAAACTTAATTAAGAGTGGGTGCCAAAAAAGGTATCATATTTGCCATTTATCGTTTACAGGTCTTACTTGTACTGGGAGCCTAGTCACTTCTGAATATGGCACGCATCTAATATTATATACAACGATATATAACTATTGGTGTGAAAAAGCACTAAAATCTCATACATTAGAAACTAAAGAAATCTCATAAATTATGTTATACAACTTAATTCCATATCTGATTAATTTGGGACACCATTTTATTTAAAGTAAGAAATAGAACTAATAAAGTTGGCAATCGGATTTGGCCGATTTCTTTCTCATTATGGTTCGGTAGAGTATATTGTTCGAACTATATATAATCTTAGACTTGGAAAAAACTAGTATCTTAGAATTAAGTTTTATAGCGCACTTCAAGTCCACAACGATCATGAATTTTCCCTTTAGCTATCAACAAATTTTATAGATATGGAGAAACGTTCACTGAAGCTAGCATTTCTCATTGTGCTCTTGATAGTTGCATTTGTGGGTAAGATACTTCTCTTAAATGATTGTTTTTTCATCCAAGTTCTCATATTTTCTTTACCTCTTCTTTTTTGACTATGCAACTTCTCCTCATACATAACATGTTAGTATGTTTTGAGTTAATAAAGTAAATATGGATGGTAGGTGTACAACTTGGAGTCGAAGCAGAAAACATACGTCTTCCTGGTGTATGCAACACAGTTAAAGACTGCTATGCTGGTGTTGTTTGTCAATGCAAAGATAAACATTGTTACTGTAATAAGGAAGGACTGAAGAAGTTCTTTTTGGAAGACTCATCTATCCGCTTGCAAGCACAATAGGAAATCCCATAATTACGTGTTTTTAATTCTCGCACTATATTATTAAAATAAATGTTTAGAAATTAAACTACTGAAATAAATAATATTGACTCATTACTATTATAATTTTAATTGGTGTGACTTTTTATTTCGTGCGAGTTAACAAAAATGCTCTTGAAATCCATAATGTTATGTAAATTATAATTTCAAATTACAAAAAATTAAGTTATAAAAACCAAATTATACAATGTTAAAATATTCAAATATTGATACACTTTACTTTTATGAGTGTTGTTTCGCTTTTGCAACTGTTAAGGCCTCGCTACATGCAAATTGTCTTCTGGGTGCTTACGCGTTTGTCATTTTGTGACAAATCTTTATTGGCGGCAGGTGTTTTGTTTGGTGGCTGATTTGAACTGTACAATTGCGGTGTATAACCACCGAAAAAAAGTAACACTTTCATCCACTTCCCGCCGAACAAACCAAAAACAAAAGTAGCCAGGTTATTCGGTGGAATGCTTGAGACGGTCATTGCCGAATATGATGTCTGAAGTTCGGCTAACCATGGCTAAACCGCTAAAAACATCTGATACTCAATCCAGAAATATCGTTCAAATCTTCCATTAGATATTGCAAGCAAAGGAGGGAAAGTTAGGAGAGAGAGATGAGAAAGGGAGACTGAGCGGAGGGAGAGAGCGGGTGCTGGAAAGGTGATGTTTCATAATGTTATTTTTTATTTGGTTTTACTTGACATGATTTGGTTAAAGGGCAGTGTTCGCCTATTAGGGACCAACTATTTAGACCAAACATTAGTCCTTCGATCGAAAAAAATAAGGGCAAATATAAAAATGCAAGACAATAGACAAACATTAGTCCTTCAATCGAAAGATTGGGATGCAAGGAGGGCATGTGCCATAGTGGAAATCAAACACTCTTATGAGTTATGGCTCTCCTTACTCGGTTTCAATGCTCCTCCATTTCCTCAAACAACTCCCCCTCTGAAACCCCTAACTAAATAAAAAAATCGAAAAAATGGGATGCATAAATTTGATCTACGCGGTAACTGAATAATTCTTGCTTAAAAAACGTTTGAGTTTTCATTGATTGTATCATCACATCTATACACATAGATCAGTTCTTATCTAAACTCTAGGAGAGTTATCAACTAAAATTCAATTAACAACAATGGTTTCAAAAGGAATCAGACCACTATTAACACCCAATTTAAGCTCAAAAGAGCCGCTACTCCAGTTGCTAGATGCTGGAATTTCATGTCTCCTCCTAATAAGCTGCTGTCACTCCGCTGTCTTTCATGAATACCGACAGAGACATTTATGGGCGAGGAGCATTGAAAAGAAAAAGTATGAAATATGACATACTAAAAAAGGTCGTACCCAGTGCACAAGGCTCCCGCTTTACGCAGGGTCTGAGAGAGGTGTACTGCTAAAAAACTATATGGGAAATGAAACAAGAAAAGAATTTAGAACATAGTTTAGCTTACAATTGAAGTTTGCCCAACCCAACTGCTGACCAACTGTATCATAAACAACGATCTTATCTCTTAGAAGAAGATCTGCATTCGAAAAGACATGAGAAGTCATATTAAATGATTTTACATGTTAACTAGTGTTTTGTAAATTCACTAAAGAATTGAACACCATATGCACAGCTTGTTAAATTACCTCCGAGAATGTTGAGCCTTTTGTGAGCTTTAAGGAAACCCATGCACCACGAAGGAAGGCCATTCTGTAACACTTCCATTGCATCAGTCAATTAATATTATTTTAAACAAGAATTATTTTACAGAATGAGGTTGAGGATAAACTTACATAATAACCGCCATCAATAAGATACTCTCGTGGTTTCAAAACCATCGAGACGCCGCCAGCAAAATTCAGACTGACTGACGGAAATGCCTCAGCTAAACTGAAAAATAACGGACATAAATGTCATTCAGTTCTTTTGAGGACAGAGAGGGGTATACATAGATTAATGGAGACAAATTTCACTCAATTTTGTTCGAGGGAGAGAGAGCACTTGCTGATGGAGGTGCGATAGCACTGGTTTCCTGACGTTGAAACCACGGGAGTCACATGTTTAGAAGAAGCCAAAGTTATCTGCACAGCCAAATACAAGGGAGTCACATATAGTAATCGTATATTACTATACCCTTTTATATAAAAGAACTAATGGATCTCGAACTTACAGCACGAATAAAAGGTTCATATAATTCTTCTATAAGATATGCTAGAGTAGTTCCCGAGTCCACAACAGTTCCTCGTCCACGTGATACTTTGAACGCTGCTGGATCAATCGGCAAAATTTTCCCGTTAACAGCAATGCTCTGTAAGTAGATTGCATAATATGGCCGCCTGAAAACAGTAGGTAGAAATTTGTTATATTAATTAAACAAAAGAGGTAGTCACTGAAACTTTCAATTAAATCAAAGAAACAATTAAATGGAAATACACGGATAAAAATTTACTTCGGGACAAGGGGAGTATAAACAATACTCGGCTCCAAAATGTCACCAAGTATGAGTATACCGCCACCATAGTCATCTCCCTTCAAACAGTGGGAGAACACGCTGGGAGTCATTCCTTGCGAAGACAACTGCGATAGAACAGACATGGGACCTTGGCTAAAGCCAAATATCCCATTGACTGAGGCCCGGGTCCCAGCCAAAAGTCCGGATACAGAAGTAGTACACCCGTTTCCAATATTATTCAAGGAAATAATGCAATTAACCTCTAATCCCTACAAGAAAAAGCTAGTTTTTATAACATTAAATTACATCGTTTTTAATGTTGTTAGTAGTCAATATTGGTAGCATTTGCGAACAACATCTAAGCTTATAAACCTTTGAACCCCAGAATTAATTCAAACATCTCAAGAACTCAGGTTTAAACTCATGGACAGGTGATGGTGGTCAGTTGTGTTAGTAATTGAGAAATCTGGTTTGTTTCTTTTGCTTTTGTCTAGTTTCAGTGTTCTTGGTTCTGTTTTTCCATCTCTTTTGTTGTATTTTCTGTTTTGATTCCTTTGTTCTTGATATTTTTATATGTAAATCATGTTATGGTGTTTTTTCTTTCAGTTTTACTGCTACATTTTGCTGTGGAAGCATGCGTACTTTTGATAACCTCCCTTACCCATTAAGAACAGTAAATCATGCAACTCGGACGCACTAATCAAGGAGCTACACATGCTTTACTTGTTCTTGAGTGTGGATGTTGCAGTGATGTTCTTTTATACTCTTTCATATTTTAATATGATTGATCAACTTGGTTATACTATTTTGTGCCATACTACTAAGTAGGTAAAGGGCCATACTGCTCCTACTTAATGCAAAGCTAAATATTGTGTAATACATGCTCTGATGGATACACAAGGGTTCATATGTCAAATCAGCTTCTAAGTTGAGGAGAAGCTATTTGAAGGTTTCATGATTCCAGGCTTCCAGTTTTGGTTGTTACATTTCAAATGAGAATACAAGAACCATGGCTCTGCAGCTTGGTACTCTCTTTATCGATCTCTATATTTATCATGATACGACTGTTTGATTCTAGTTATTTTTGGTATATAACATGGTTCTTGTTACATGCCATGATTTCACATACACAGTTATTGGACCTTGGCCCATCCTTTTATGCTAGCAGTCAATGTGAAAAGCCGTTTAGCTTTGTCAATAGGAAGACAGCTTCTTTTTTTTTCCCCCCCTCAATTTTTGCTCATCAGTGGTTATAGTATATAGGATTGAAATAGTTATAGAACATAGGATGGCACTGTTACCTCCAATACTTATTAAGGAGCAGATTACACAATACTTCATATCTTGAGTTAAGTTTTAGCGTTTTTATATGTAGTGGTTGAATCATTTTCTTTGCACCGTCGTTCAAGGTTGTCTGACACATATATTTGATTGTGCTTTTAGAAATGGAAAGTCTACCTCTCCTAATTTTTAATTTTTGTTTGAAATGGCAATATAACTTTTCTGTGTTATGGAGTTAGACGATTAAGGCAAGGGTGGTTTTGGCCAAATAAAAAAATGCAAGGGAGGAAGTGCTTGTTGATATTAGAGAGATGGCAGATCAATTGCAGCTTGTGTTAGTGGTTTTTATGAACTGAAAGCATAAAGGTTTGCATTTTATTGGTTTTGCTTCATCCCAATAGCCTACCATGCATTTTCATTACATTTGCTAATTTCCTAAAGTCTACCACCTTACTTGTAGTGAATAAACAGATGCAAAAAGAAAGGTTAAAATGATACTCACCCGAAAACAATGGGTGCTGAAGATTCCAGTGCAACATAAGATCGCACTGGAATAGTGTCAAGATGAAGCACATCTGATACGAGAAAACTGGTGATGCGATCTCCGCCGGAATATGTCATATCATAGTCGCACCGGTGGCTTTGACGAGAGCATTTGCCGCACATTGCATGTGAACAAGGGAGCACCCCCCCAGTGGATGAATTGACAATGTCATAGAAACTGAATCGAGTCTTTGAAACATGTTGCAGAAACAATTAGGACAAAACCAAATAACACAAGATATAGTATTGAAATATACAAACAGATTCAATGCAACAGTAAGCTTGGATTCTCTCTCAATGCTGCAACAAGGTTTCAATTTTTGTAGTGTTTATGGGCTAATTTTTTTTCCGGTTTCAAACGATGTGGCTAATTAGGAGAGTGTGTTTTTATACATACATATATATATATATATATATATATATATATATATATATATATATATATATATTTGGGGCAACCATGCCTAACGATTCAGATTGTTGAGGGAAGACCTAAATTAGATGTTTAGGTCGTTGAAACACAACGTGAAATGAGCACTAAAGGAGGTCAGTCGAGTGTATTTGAGTGTATATTGTTGGACGTAGGACCATAATCCAACGGTTAATAGGTCTACACAGTTTATTTAAGTATTGTTTGGAATATAAATAAGATTAGGATTTAGTTAATAGCTATAGCTTGTACCCCAAGTAAAGTTAATATATTCCGGATTTCCTTGGGGAATAAGGGCTCCTAATTTTATCCTATTTGGAATGAGATTTGGTGTATCAATTATTCTTGGACTGCAAGGATTCCTAGTGACATTATTATGGGAAGATTCATTAGGGTTAATTCCATATAAATACAAGGCTAAGGTCCCTGCTCATAACACGCAAAAACTCATATGAACATCTCATTAGTTCGAGTATAAAGGAGTGTTGAGTGTGCAGAAGACTTTGGTCAACTAACATATTATTCCACAGGATTCCAATACAATTTCCACGATAAGGAGAAGTACATGGTTGAGCCTATTCTACATAAAGATGGTTCATCTTTCCTACATGCCATGTTGACTTCGAGTACTTTATCAATTGAGCATAATTTATGGAGAGGTTAGTGTTTTTAGTTGTTTATGAAATAGATAAAGTATTACATATATGACTATTCTAAATTGAAGCTCAGTGTATGTATGTGTGTGTGTTTATATATATAATCCATTATTTTCAATTCCCTATTCTGCTATGATAGTCCTCTGTTCATTGTTCTGCACTAGTGATGTGTGCTTGCACTGTTTTCTTTTCTTATTTGCAGGGATGATGGTTTTGCCAAATATTTGTGTTTTCTGTCCATTTTTAGTTTCAAATAAATAAGATTCTCTTCTTTTGCTAAACCGAAATCGTAATTATCTTTCTTCCATATAGGTACTTTTAGATGTATTCGTGCAAATTTCCTTTGGCATCACCAGAGTGTCAACATCTTCGATTAAAGGGATCTCCCTCTTGTATGGAATATGTTGATTAGTGTGGTCTAAACTTTTTTTATGGAGCACATTATTTGGTTTATTTCTAAAAAGCTTGATGATAAATGTTAGGATTGAAGATATACTGCAGAAACTAAAAAGGCTTTACATAGCTTATGGCAAGGCATAAGAGAGGCAGTCTTAGCCCATTCTATGGGTCCAATTATAAATGCTAAGTCATTGGCACTAGCCATTTGAATAAGCTTGGCTTCTCATACATGCAAGATTGTACGTTAAACGTTTGGAAGTAGGATTGCCAAATTGATAGCAAACAATGGGGAATACAAAGAAGAAAGAAATGTGAACTTACTCCCAGATCAGTGAATCGGGGGCAATTACTGCAGGAACTGCAGGAAACCCAGAACAAGTCACTCCCCGTGTCAAGCAACACATAGAACTCTCTTGGCGAAGAGCCTATTTTAACTTTCGTCACATACACCCTAGAGAGAGTCATAAAATCATGCAGCAAAACTAGTTATTAACTGTTTTTTCAGAGAATAGTATGATATTTTCATTCATCGAAAAATGGGCATTACAAATAGCGAGCTTTCTTAATAAAAACCATCCAAAAATGATTAAAGTCAATTAAAAAAGCTACCCGATGTGTTGAGGATGGCCATAGTAATCCTCATACACGACTGTAACATTGATTAAGCCGCTCACAACTGTTTTGAAGACGTGGGCGTGCCTCGAAAGGTCTCGAGCTCGGAGCTCATCCAGTCGAATTGGGTGCCTTGACGGAAACGCTCTCTCTAGAGAGAAAACATTCCCGCGGACACCAAAGAACGAAATGAGGAGGGTGGCCAAAAGTATGTGAGCAGTCCCCATCGTATAGTGCAAAGAAATCTGAACACATAAGAAAATTGTGTTAGGGTTTTGAACAAATAATGGTACTAATATTTAGAGTTACAGTCGTTCTATTAGGAGGATTGGCCAAAAAACCTATAATCACAAGCAGCATCTCTAGATTGAGTTCACTAAAATTTAAAATCAGCTGCTACCAGTTAATATTACAATGATTAAATACAACCGAGAAATCAAAGATCATGAAGCATTTTGAGAGCTCATGATCTAAACTATGCAGCAAGCAAATGCACCCGTGTGTGTGTGTGTGTGAGAGAGAGAGAGGAGTTACAGAGGAGAACGAGGAGTTCTGGACGATGTGTGTGTGGGGGAGAGAGACGGAGTTACAGCAAATTTGAAGCAACAGGAAGAGAGAGAGAGAGAGAGAGAGAGAGAGGAATAGGCAATGAGAAACCGAGAGCGTTCAAATGAAGGACTGAAAAATTAGTTTTTGGTGGAGAAAATTGATGAAGGTGGTAGTTCAAGGTGGTTTCTTAATTTTTTATAAGAATAATGTTAGGGATATTAAATTTACAAATTAAATTAAATGATACGTCACTAATAAGAATAAGTACATTTATCAACGCTTAAGTAATAAACCAATCATTAACTTCCATGTTCTTTAGTTTCTAAAATTTAATATACCTAGCATTACTCTTTTTATAATTACGATTCTCCTTACTTACAGAGTGACTGTTAGAGAGAGAGAGAGAGAGAGAGAGGCAACTGGACTCAACTAAGAGAGAGAGAGAAGAAAAGCCTTTACCGAAAGAAAAAAAGAAAAGAAAAGCCCGGGAAAACTTTTTTTTACATTCTCTTTTGTGTTTAGGTACCAAATTAAGTTTACAAACAAAATGATGTGTCACCAATAAGAAATAAGCACGTTAATTAACACTTATTAGTAATCCAATTATCAACAATCACATTATTTGATTTATAAATTTGGTTTCCCTAACATTATCCTTTGTTTTTATCTTTGTGATGCAAAAGTGAATTTTTACTGCAACCCCCCACCTTCGACTTAAAATGGATTGGACAGAGCTTTAATTCCACTGTGACAAAAGATTTTTCAATGTGCCATAGTACCGTGTACTAAACATACTGAAAAATTTCTCCATGTTGAGAATCAGAAGGGAAAGGGCGAAACTTTAGTTTACATATCGAGCTTTGATCTAACTTTGTGGTAATTTAATTAATACTACATTTGCAATATAAGAAATAGTACTACTCTTACGGTATATACTTGGGGATTATTCATACTTTCTATCTTATTATAGAATAACATAATTGAGCTAGAGAAGAATTTCGGGTTTCTATTTTCTAATGCTATTATATAATACTAAGTCGGATCGGATTAGATATAATCTACATTTGATATACAAGCAAATGGATTATATATTCTTGGTTAGTTTAACATCACGTTTTACTTATAAAGTGGTTTTTCATGCATAAAATCTAAATTAAACAAATTTTTGCCAACAAAGACTGAGTCTAAAAATTTGTTAAGTTCGCTAATTACGTGTTTAATTCTTTTTTTTTTGGCTACCAAATTGAGAAAGCATATATCCTTTTCTTATTCATATAGGTCTGCAACATTGTTGATCATGAAGGTGGGAATGTATCAGAATCAGAAGATAAGCAGTAGAGATAGAGATCAGATGGAGAATTGTATTCGAGTGGTAACCTTCCAATATCTACGACTTCTTCGCTTTTACTTAGTTTAATTTTTTTTTTTTTTATGATACCTTTTAATTGGAGATGAGATCAGAAAGGTCACTGCTTTGGCCCTTCGGTTGGGCCCCAATTTCCAAAAACACCTCATTCAGCTTTTGAGTTTCTTTTGCCTAATTACAAAAAGAAAACAGGCCTCATAATTATTTTTCAATGAGGAACAATTACTCCCTATCCCTATCTTGTTAAAGCTTACTTGCAGCCACCCCTCCCTTTCTACCATAGCGTTTCCTTGTTTGCTTGAAGCTAGCTACCAGAAGCTGAAAGACAGTCGTACTAGTTTGCATCAATAAAAACTCAGAAAATCCACAGAGATACGAAACAAATAAAAACATGATCTTATTATTTGATTGTTTTTTTATTCCCTCTATGTTGTCTTCGTTGTGTTGCAATTTGTTTGATTGGATTAGCACATTCCTGCCATGCTGGTATGCATTAGTCTGTAGGACTACTTTTTCCTTTTTTTCAGGTTCTACTATAGGCAATTGAAGCGTACGAGTCATTAACACGTGCAAGCATGCATTTAGGGTTCAGCAGAACCAAACTAGGGGTCCATGTACAAGTTAAAACACAGAGCTATAAGTTAACACGTGTATTACAACCGAAACTTATACTAATTAAGATTTTTAATGTTTTAAACTTATAATATATTCAAATTACTGATCTTTCAAAAAAAAAATATATATATATATACACAATTATGGAATATATTTCTGAAAATATTTATATGTATAGACATACATACGCGCATACACTAAGTCAAACCGAATTATATCATATACGGTTAGCTATAATTTAGATCTTAAATGAATTATGGGATTGAAATCTCAAATTCACATCCTATTAATTACACCAGAGTTGAAATCAGATTATTTTGGGAGTCACATCACACATTCGTACACTGGTAGAAAAATTAGTATTACCTTAATGTTGAAAATTATGAATTCTTATTTAGCTAAAAATCAATTAAAAAAATTTACTATTTAACCATATGTTGATGCACAGAATCAGTGAGGACTTTGGTACAATAGAAAGTGTCAAGTTTGTGACCTTCGCTAGATTGCTCCGGTCACTAGTGTGGATAAGTATGTAAATGGATAGAGACAGGGAAGCAAACACAAGATGTATGTGGTTCACCTAGATTGGCTACGTCCACGGAGTCGAGGAGTTCTCATTAATTATGAAGAGTTTACACAAGTACATAGGTTCAAGCTCTCATTTAGTGAGTACTAGTGAACGATTTAGCACAAATGACATTAGGAAATATTGTGGGAGAATGATCTCCTTTTATAGAAGAGAGTTTCTAGATTTGTTCTGACATTGACACGTGTCGTGTTGTGATTGGCTTCTGATGTTGACACGTGTCGCACTATGATTGGCTTATGATGTCGACATGTGTCGCACTGTGATTGGCCTTCTGGTTGGAAGGAAACTCTTCTGGGTCTTTGACGGTATAATGTTGACCGGTGCTCGGTAGTTTCGAGATTGGTCAAGTATGATACAAACAGTGCTCCCTAAGTTCCCGAGTGAGGGAAGCTCCTAGGTTGGGGACTTGCAAGATCCAAGCCGCTGAGTAATCACGAAACTTCTAAGTACCGAAATGTGGTATCGTTTTCACTTGCCTTATCTGTCTCATAGGTAGATATGGCATCTTCTCTGGAAGTACTTTTCCTCCATCTAGGGATGGTATCTTTAATCGATGGAGATGTACAAGGTAATGTATCAATTTCACTTGAAGCTTACTTGTAGTTTCGGGCTTGGTCAAATGCTATACAAACTCTATAGTAGGAGTCCTCAAAGTCTCTGAGCGAGGAGATCTGTCGAAAGAGGTGACAGACAAAGTAAGCAATTAGAGTTCCAAACAGTCATTCTCAGATCGAAAGTTTGATCTCGTGTTCCGGTTGATTGTTCTCCTTCTCCTTGTTCTGTAGACATCAACAAGGACAAAGAAAAGGACATGGAGAAGAGATGATATGATATACTTTTTCTTTTGAAGAAGTAACTTTCTACAGGCTTATTCTTAAACTGGGTTTGAAGGTTTTTTGGTTTTCTTTAGAGTATAAGGCCGACTCAAGAATTTGAGGGTTAAAATAAGTCCATCAAATCAAAAGTGCTTTCGACCTTGATGATATGGGATACTTTTGCTGTTGACAAAACAATAGATAAATCAGCACGTGTTCTGTTGCGCTTGTCTCCACATGCTTCCTTGTATCATTCTCACTTGCCCTATCTTTTCCTCAGGCAGATGTGGTATCTTCTCTGGAAGCACAGATGTTAAAGATGAGTACTCGAGAGCAATGCCAGGTAAGTAATTAGGCAAGGGGTTCCAGGCAGTCAGTTCCTGACTGGAAGCTTGATTCCAAGTGCTGACTGATTGCTCTCTTTCTCCTTGTTTTGTAGGTAAGAACAAGGGCGAAGGAAAAGATAGGGAAAAAGCATGATATGGGATACTCTTGTTTTTAACCCTGATGATATGAGATACTCTTGCTCTGGTGTGGCTTGTTTACAGAGGTATTATCGGGGGAAAGAAAGCTGAGTATTTCGAGAGGCTTCGTTGGGAGTGCCCTCTCAGATATGAGGAAGGGTTGAGCATTTTTGCAGGTCTGCCTGTCTGTGGAGGATGAAGGTCGCCATATATAGGAGTTTCCCTAACAAGTAGTAATGCTATTCCTTTACCCTTCTTGGTTATGGCAATGTAGTGGGAGCTGCCAGCTTCACGTGTTTTAACTTTGTCAGAGCACTTTGAAAAAGTGGTCAGTGGTGTCCGGAGAGCTGATGTTGAGTGTGAAGATTACAGACAAGTTTTATCCAAGGAAATCTGGCTCTCGAAGCTCGGAGAGTGGTGCCTCTTTGGTTTTCAGGAAAAAAGACATGTTAAAGATCTGACTCTCGAAATTCGGAGAGCGTTGCCTCTTTGATTTTTGGATAAGCAATCATATTAGGAGTTTGGCTTTCGAGATTCGGAGAGTGGTACCTTTTCGATTTTCGAGAAAGCAATCTTGTTGGAAGTCTGGCTCCCGAGATTCAGAGAGTGGTGCCTCTTTGATTTTTGAGCAAGTAATCCCGTTGGGAGATCTGGCTCTCGAGATTCGGAGAGCGGTGCTACTTCGATTGTTTGAACAAACAATCTTGTTAGGAGTGTTTTCTCGGGTGTGAGTAAAGGTTGGACATTTTTGCCAATCTGCCTTGTCACGAAGCACAGAGGTTGACACACATAAAGACTTTCCAGTTATCAAGCAGTAGTGATGTTCCTTTACCCTTGTGTGTAATAGTAGGGTAGCTAGACCTTCAAATTTTATGTGTCTAAACTTTGTCAGAGATCTTTGGCAAAGTTATCTGGGGTACCCGACGAGTTGACGTTGCGTGTGGAGATTGTCGACAGATTTTACTCAGGAAAATCTGCTTCTCGAAATCCGGAGAGTGGTGCCTCTTCAAATTTTGAACAAACGGCCTTGCTGCCCTTTCTTTTATAGGGGCACTTTTTGTGTGCAAGAAGTACGTTAAGAGAATTATTGCTTGTAGGAATTTTTTCTTTATTTTTGTACTTCAAAGATTTATTGGACCTCATTTATCCTTCATCATTTCTGAAAATGTTTGGCCCATTCGACCATCGTTTTAACTTGAACTTTGGTGAAGAGGTAGCCATGCCTCCCCAAGACAACATATGACGCCTATCATTCTTATCCCCTACTGGTCCTCTTACC